CCCAATCTACTATAATCTTTGGGGTCGTCCATATCGAATCTGACACCCTGTATAATATTATAATATTCTATGAGTTGGCGATTAACGCAATATAAATATATGAGTATAATTGTCAACAAAGTAAATTTTCAGTTTTGTATAGGAAAGAGTGTTTGTAAAAAATGATAGAATCAGTAAATACTTTTAATTTAACCTACTTTTTGCTTATTTATTATATATTATACCTAGCAATTCTAAACATTCCGCAAGCATGTTGATAATACGCAATGAGCATTGATCCTGTTGCTAGGATCACCACACTCCCTATGCTTATAGCTGCATTTATGTAAAATAGCGGTAACTGAAAATACCTTCCTTGATTGACTAATTCAGTTGAGATTTGCAGATGTTCTGAGCGAGACACATTTGTGGATGTTACAACATCGACATTGACATTGGTAACTTTCGACCATAATTGTGCACCCATAAAAAGAGATATACAACCAATACCAGCCACTAAATAATATTATGAAGTAATAATATAAAATATAGCTTTCAAAAATTAAAAGTTTTTTATTGCTGTAATTATATCTTGACCAAAAATATTGTATATATTTGGATATGAAACTTATTAGAACTTTGATAAATACATATATAATAATTCATCTGTCAGTCGTATTTCTTAAAGTATTATACTTGGAACGGAGTACAAAGTTAAAGCTAATTTAATTATGAAAGGTTTTATAAGAATTTTCTTATTTCTTCATCTTTAATGCATTTAAATCCAAGCATGAATGTAACTCATAACAGATATTTTCATATTTTATATTCAAGTCATTCAGTGAATTTTCTTTTATATTTTATAAAAATTTTAAAAGAAAATTCACTGAATGACTTGAAATAAAAAAAACGTATAAAGAGCAAAAGATGATGTCTTACTTATAAGATTAGTCGTATATTGTTTCGCGTTCCTTCCATATTTTTCTATGATGGCAATTTCATTATTGTCTCTTAAATCATTACAGAAATGCTGAACTTGTTCTATTAAATATTTTAACTGTCCTGTCAATAAGTTTTTAAGCTACTTGTCTTAGTAAAATTTAAAAAGAATTAATAAAAAGTAAGTATAAAAGTTTATATATTAATTTTATATTTATTTCAACAAATGCACACACAGAATGGATAATGAACTTACCGTTTCACTGTTAACGTAAAAGGAATAGTATTTTGCGATACACGACATAAAAATGCATACAAAAGATAGAATATTTATGATGAAGTCTGTAGTTAATTTTGAAGTCATAATTGTTATAAGCTACAAATAATTTTTGTAAGAAAAAAATGTTATTTGTGTCTTTATCATATTGTAGACTATTTTTAGTTATTTTATAGCATACACACAACATACTCATATGTACAATAAATAAACATTTTAAAGATAAATTGTATAATTATAATTCTTTGTTTTTTATAATGAATATATTTGCACACATTGTTTTCACATGTATATGGATAAAAAATAAAATTAATGATATATTGTACATCTAAAATTTTACCTAAAGAATTTTTTTTAAATTTGCTCAATTGACATATTCCAACTCAATATACAGGGTGAGTTATAACATTTGTCCACGAGCTCGTGAGAAGGTAGAACGGATCGAGATGAACAGAAAAGTCCTGAAACATTTTGCAATTTTCGCAATAGTTAACGAGAAAAAAATTATCGAAAATCGTCGCCTTTT